GTGGGCTGGCCAGGCCAAATGCCAAAAGTAGAGGAAGAGAAGTGTTGGGCCAGGGGACCACCAGCTGCCCAACTCTGTTGGTGAATTGCTGGGTCCCATGGAACCCAATGGGAATGGTCCCCCTGAAGTTGTGCAGGGCATGACCCTAGGTTCAGGGTGGTCAGGGGTGAGAAGCAGGATGATTCTTGAATGATTTAGTTTGCTTCCCAGGGTGCCTTTAGCTTCGGTTTTCTCCAGAGCGGGGTTAGAAAAGCCATTCTGAGCCTGGTCTTTGCTGTTAACTGGGAAAAAAAAAGGAAAAAAGGGGCCCAGTTGAGTTTGGACCAGGTGTCTTTAAATCCTGTTGAAAAGGTTAGACCACTGGACTGCAGACTGCTCTGGGAGCCAGGGGTGGAGGGGGGGGATGGAGTCACGTAAGTTTATGAAGGCAGCAGCACCACAGGCTCAGGTTTGTTTGTTATCTATCTATCTATCTATCTATCTATCTATCTATCTATCTATCTATCATCTAGCACCTGTCATTTATCTATCAATCACAGTTAATTAGGAAACTCTGTTGTGTTCTGCTCCAAAGGAGATATTGGTCAAAACCCCAACTTACTTATTTTAAAGTGATCCAAATTTAATCACTTGAAGAGAAACACAACTTGCAACTTCTGTACTTAATTTCTATTCTCTATTTTGTGTTGGTGGGGACTTAAGTCATGGAGGAGAAGTTCATCGGGCTGAGTTCCAACAGTTGGGGAGAAAAGAGAAATGAAGCCTCAGGGATCAGTCCGGAGCAGCGCTTGCAGGCTGGGACGGCAGGCCAGCTTGCTCCAGTCGGGCCAGCTGAGCCAGCAGGGACTGAGGTCAGTGGTTATTAATCATTTGTCAGAGTCTGCGGGGCTTTATCAGATAATTATAGTTATAAGTATGTTTATATCACAAAACATGTGGCAAAGCTGCAAAGGATTCAGATCCTAACACAATCTGTACTGACATTTTAAAAAACACAGATAAGTGATAAAGCATAAAGCAAACACTTTAGAAAACCATGTCACTGATTACTGGGCATTCTAGAATTATTTTCTATGCTGCTTATTTCCATAAACATTTAGGACCTTACAGGGCCTTAGACTACGTCTCTTATTCCTCCTATTTTCTGATGAGTTGTAAAAATAACAAGAATAATCATCATTTGAAAGACTGGTTATCGACTGCATCCGTATAAATAGACAACTAGAATGTAATTACAGCTTACTTTATAAAATCCACTTCTGAGCAGAAATATCTTGAGCTGTTCTGAAGAATCTGCATAAACGCATACATGGATGTGCCTGAGGGCAGCTCTAAATCCCACAGACCGACAGAAGGCATTTTAGAATAAACGATTTAAGACTGCAAACAGCATCCATTTTGCTCTGTTTGGCAGCATGTAAGTTCACACCCTAGGAAACACTTCTCCACATGAATGAATTGTGAAATTGTTTCCTTCTGCTCGACACTTCTCTAAATTATATTAGATGATGTTAGCCGTATCTGCGCCTTGTCATAGAGGCTTGTCGGTGCCCCAGAGGCAGCGCGGGTGGACACTGGAGGCAAGGGCCACAGTATTTGGGATGCTGCCTAATATCAGTCAGTATGTTGGGGAAAAACAGTGGGAAATTTTGCACCCACACCTAACAGTACAAGGAAAGATGGCTTTGTTGAAAATCTAGACATGCTAGGGATTATGGTGTGGTGAGCCACGAGTATTTCAATTCCTAGATTACAAACATAAACATCTCAGGAAGCGATTACCTTTGTGTCTTCCCTCTGTGTCTACCCAGTGTCAAGCATTGCCCTCCAGGTGTGAGTGCGCATGCCAGCCCACTCTCCTCCGCTGCCGGGTTACGGGGATGGTGCGCAAACCGTTCTCAGTCGACTCATAATGGCTGACGGACAGACCTCCTATGTGGGTATGAGTTACAGACCTCGTATGTGGGTATAAGTTACAAAAATCTTAGGTCTCTGGATATTGCAGATACTTATTTCACTGAATCGAACATGCTGTCTCACCTCCCAGAGCACCATCCTCCTCCCCTGTCAATGGACCTGCGTGTGCGCACGTCCCCACGACCATCCTATCTGCGCTGCTACAACTGCAGCCGTGATCACTTCAGGAAGCCAAGAGCCCCGGAGCTTTTAATTTTTGTTCAGAGCCTCCGTGTGCCCCACTTTCAATCCACGATTCAGGCCAGATGCCTGTTTATCCAAGAGAGTGGACTTAGAGACATCTTTTATTTTTTATTTTTTTAAATATTCATTATCAGTATCTCTTAACTTTAAATTTTAATTTTAAAGTTTCATATTTTAGAATTAAAATGTGGGACACTATTTGTAAGAAATATAATACATACAAATTTTAAGAAGAATCATAGCTTTCAGTTTGTTAAATTATGTGCCTTAGATGATTCAATTATCCCATTTTATATGATGATCTATGCTGACCTCATCTTTTTAATTTATGGCCCAATAATGCCTTTCTGTCAATTCTCCGAGCTACCAAATTTATGAGCCGAGAGCCAAGCCATGTAATCTTCGGGTTTTCTGAACAGCTACATAATAATGTTCTAGAAACTGGTAGATAAGCTGCAGGCAAATGGGATTAATGGCACTTTATTTTTTGCTTTAGAATTTGGCTTTTATTATGTAAAAACATAAATAATTTTTCCTAAATGAATCAACATTTAATTGGTTAAATAAAATATACTTTCAGTTGGTGAATTTACAAATTTAGTTAGTGAATTTTCTTATATTCGATCTTTGAGATGGAATTTTAAACGAAATATTTCATATACTACCACGTGTGTTAACTGGCTCATCCAACGTTATGAAGCGTGTTTTCTATGTAAGGCAGTGCTCCCTTCAAGAGTGGAGCTGGTTTTCATGTGTAAAACCTATAACGAGGCTCATCAAAGTCTCAGAATCTAAGCTGGGAATGACTTCCGAGATCATGTAACTCAAATCCGTTCTATTATACACAAGGGTGTTTATATTATTAGATGAGATCTGAATAGACTCAGAGGCTTGTCTGAGATCATTTACTATGTTACTAATAGTATTAGGATGAGAGTTAGGGTCCTTTTTTCCTTTTATTGAAACAAAAGATTTCACTTTTAACATGTCTTACTATCACTTTCTTGTTCAGACTGTAAGTTCTGACTTTGCTATAGTTTGGACCAAAGTTAGATCTCCAGTTGCCTTCAGAGTTTACTCATATATAGATAAAGAGTTTGTTAGTCAAATCTAGATAAGCTGCATGATTGCAAGCAACATACTGACACATCAAGAGATAACTGAATTTAACTGAATTTAACTATGTTAAAACACCTTTTACATATGCTAACATTACAATTTCACTTTTGAACCTATTTTTGTATCTATTTACGATAGTGACAATTCTCCCTAGTAGATAATATGAAAGAATGACCAGATCAAGTGTATAGATCAGGAATACTTAGATTGCTGGTAAAGAAAATTTAGTCTACCTTTGTCATGAATATTCTGGGCCACATTAAAGTCCTACAAACTATGTAAGTGGTCTCCTGGCAGGATGTTAGTCCTACATGGCTTTGATTTGCTGTTCACTGCTGATTAGGCCAGAAGTGGTTACTTGGCCCAAGCTATGCCAGTCATATTCTCCTTCCTGGAAAGTAGAAAATGGATTGAGACATGCATGCCCAGCATGCATTTTGAAGTATAATATGTAAACTCAAGAGCTGTCAGACAGCCATATGTGACGGGGGAGCAGAGAAAGCTGGTGCTTAGCAAGAATGAAGCACACCAGAGGGAGCACGTTTATGTGCCCTGACTGGGAATCGAACCTACAACCTTTTGGTATATGGGATGATGCTCCAACCAACTGAGCCATCTCACTAGGGCTATGTAAAAATTTTTGTCTTTTAAAAAGATTTTATTTATTTATTTTTAGAGTGATAGAGAGGGGAAGAGAGGGAGAAATGGAAACATCACTGTTACCTCTTGCACACCCCCTACTGGGGACATGGTCCACAACCTAGGCATGTGCCCTGACTGGGAATTGAACTGGCAACCCTTTGGTTTGCAGGCCGGCACTCAATCCTCTAAGCCACATCAACCAGGGCCAGCTAAGTTCTTTCTGATATGTGCAGCCAGTGAGTCTAATTCAGACACTGTAATAGAGATCTCACTCTGGAGCCAGAGCTATGATGCTGTCATTGGTATTTTGGTCCATTTTTGACAAACCATAGAATAAGTGAAAGAGCTTGATAATGAGATGCGTTTAGACAATGAGATGCATTACAATAACTAAGACCTTGTGCATGAAGCTCAAGATAGAATGATTTTTAATAAATTCCCATTATATAATAAATAGTAATAAAGTAATACTGGACTAGCTTATTTAGCTTTTATTAGAAAGCCATATGATACTACATATATTACGAAACTGAAATTCAGATTTCCTTATCCCTAATGAACCTGAAATAGTGAAGATTTTCTATATTGACAAATGACTCAATGACATTTTAAAAATAATGAAATAATTTTGAGATCATGAAGTTTTGAAATTATGAAAAAAGACAACAGCCATTTTAACTTGTATAAGCTATTTTGATAAATTTAAAGGTACCAGGTAATATAAAAAAAGAGAGAGCTTGCCACATGCCAGGAATTGTGCTAACAATTTTTCATGTATTAATTCAATCAATCCTCTCCATAGCCCTATGAGGAAATTATTATGACTGAATGTTAGTTAAATGACTTGTTCAAAGTTCCACAGCTAGTAAGAGGTGGAGGTGCTATTTAACCTATGTAGGCTATTAGACACTACACCGTAGTCTGAATAAGAAAAGCAAACTGAACTAAGACTTCTGAAAAAATGAAAAACTTTGGAAAGTTGTTTGGACATTTTGAAAAACAGTTTCATGAAACCAAGAAAAGGCACAATTTTCTAACCAATCTTTAAACAAAGAAGTTAGGTTACTAATGATTCTTACCGGGGGTTAGAAGGAGATGGTGGATTCATCTCTTTCTGATAGTGCCGACCCTGGTTAATAGGCTGTAAGAGACAAAACATTTGTGAGTAACTAATTAGCATCATGCTTTTTACATATACTTTCACATGCACTCTCATTGCTATAATTTTTTCCCCCCCAAGACACAATCTGCAAGAAGGGCCTGGCTTATTCTATAGTATTGTTCAAGGCTGTCTGGGAGATCAAGCTAGTAACAAAGTGATGTATATGGGGAAACGCAGGTTATTTTAACGGCCAGTCACTGGACTAGATAACATCTATGTTGTAATCCAAGTTCATGGATGGAATCTTCCTCCCTTGTGGAATTTCATGCTATTAACATTGGTTGATATTTCCAGAACCAGAAAAGCAAAACAAGATATCCTGTGGAATTTATACTGCAGAGGAAGTATAGGCAACAACCAGAGACTGAGGGATATAGAATATATATTCATATCTCACTGTAAGTTTGCAAGGAGAACTTCCACTTTCATTAATGGAATCACACATGTAAATCTTGGGTCAAGGTGGTCACTTTTCCCCGACTGCATAATAAAGCCTCAACGATTTATCAATGAACTGAAAGAGGTGATGCCAATACCCAACAGAAATGTGAAATCTCAATTTTCTCTCCACAAGAAAACTTTAGGTTTCTGTCAACTTCAAAACACAGCTAAACAGCCACCTCCCATGTAAGCCTTAACCTGCATCCACTGGGACTCTATGTATTTCATTTGTTCTGTAAAAGGAGGAAGTTCCATTATAATGGAAACGAATTCTGTTTTCCAACATCTGTTCAAAGTGTGTTTCCTATGTGATTAACAACAATGTTACTGTATTACGGAAATAATTTTTAAAGTTCTCGTCGTACTACAAGTTGGAATTTGGTATACATTTTAAAATTGCATTTAAAGGGCTTCAGTTGGTTCCTTACCCAATGGGGCTGGCGTTAATGTTTTTTCACCCATAACATGACCCCACAGTGCTGACAGCAACCGAGAAGAACAGTGCAGCCATGGTGCCTGTATGTACACAGCACATACTCCTTATTTTCCACATACTCCTTATTTTAATGGGTCCTAAAATAGTAATGACGTGGGTGGTGGGAATTCTTTAGAGTAAACTGTCTTCCTCTGTAAATAATGTCTTGGAAGTGTTCTTTTAATTTAAATCAAACACCCTGTATGATAATCACAGTCACTTAGCAACTATCTGTGATGCACCATGAATTTCAATGTAGTCAGATACGTTGGTAATTGAACCAATATCAATGCATCACATTTCAGTAATAAGAAACAACAGCTGGCAGAACAGTGGAAGGAAAAACATGTCATAAGACATATTTGACCTCACTAGAGAAATAATACTTAGCAATTTGCAAGTGCAATTTAGTTCTATGGTTTAGGCTTTATTATTTCACAGCAGAAAGAAGATTAGCATGGAAAGTGCTTTACGGGTTCCCCAGGCCAACTCGCACGGGGGCGGAAGCAGTCCTGATAACACCTTCATTGGTATTCCAGTGTTTCCGCTGCACCCAGGCCTCCGGTGAATGGACTGCTGCCCCTTTACTTTCAGAGGCATTTCCATAACTCTCTAAGTATTAGAGTCCTGATATTCAGCCAAATTTCTATTTTCTTAATTTATACCATTATTTCTATTTATACTCATCCCCAGCCCTCTTGTTTCAAATGCCTCACTCTATCCTCCGGAGAAATGGCTCCAGAGCCCTGTCTTGTTTGTGACTCAGCTGTCACTTAGAGGACACAGACCAACCCTTTCCACCTTTGCTCACGTTTGCATAAAACAGATCCAACAACACACGGAATAAAAAAGAGTACAATTAATAAAAATCCATACTTATAATGATTTTTAGGTGTTAGGAAACAAAAAATAACTAGTGGAAACTCTCCAAAGTAGGCAGAATTATAGATGTGCATAGATAAAAAGGTAAATAAAAATATTCACTCAAAATAATTGCAGGCAATGTAACTTGGTCTAAAATACCTGATTCCTCAACTTAATTTGTACTGCTGAGGACTAATGGCCCTGGCTGGGTGGCTCAGTTGGTTGGAGCATCATCACACACACCAAAAAGGTTGTGAGTTCAATTCCCAGTCAGGGCATAGATCCAGGTTGCAGATTTGATCACCAATCGGGTGCATACGGGAGACAAGCAATCAGTGATCTCTCTCAGATTGATGTTTCTCCTTTTCTCTCTCTCTTTCTCCCTCTCTCAATAGACACATCCTTGGGTGAGGATTAAAAAAGGAAACTAATGGAGTTGTCACTCCAAAATGTTTTATTCAATAACCAACTTAAATTTAACAATAGTATGTCATGGTAGAGCATTCTGACTTGTGCATGGAACTGCTATAAACTGACTTCTAAACCCCAACTGCTGACGACTCAGTTGGGGAAGAACGCAAGGCTTGCTTTGCAGTGAGAGAGTGCTACAAAACTGGGTGGCCCCACTTCCCTTTCTTTGTACGTGTCTCCTAATTTCATAATCAGACTCAGGGACAGGAAGAGATTATGGGAATGATGCAGCTAAAGAGCTTTTTCAAGACATTGCAGTTCCCATAACTCTGCTTTGCTGCTTTGAAACAGCAGAGCTCTCACTTTGATGTGGTCTTTTTGTGTTCCTAGGCCCAAGTCAGAATCCAGGAGACTGTGCCTAACGGTGTCTAAAGCTCTCTGGCCATGGTGGGTGGACACGGGGGTGGGGAGAATATGACGGGGTGCCTGAAGCCAGAGGCCCCTATCCACGAGTGGACACAGATGTTTCTATGCCTATATATCATAGAGATATATGCACAAACCTATTTCTACTATTTCTAGGTAGGCGACATCATTTGAAAGCACCAGTTAAAAATAAAATTTATTTTTTGATTTTTTTCAACTTGGAAATCGGAATAACAACCAATACCTGCAAATAACTATGCAAATCATGATAATGGCAGTAAATGATATTTATTGAGCATTTACTCTGTGTGTAATCCTGGACAGATATTATCTCATTTGACTCTCACAGTAATTCTATGAAACAGGATTAACAATCCATCTAACAGATGAGGAATTTCAGACACTGGATATTAACCCAAGGTGATGCCAGCCAGGAAATCGAGTCACAGTTTGAAACCAGGCTGTCTGGTTTCAGTTTACCCCCTCACCACTAGGGTATGGTACTTCATCCAGTACTTAACCATCTGGAGTGGTCAACACTTAAATTTTTGAATAAGAAATATGACAAACTCAGTTCAGTTTATATCAGGGAAAAAATAGTGGTCCTAAAATACATTTATTTGAAATATATGACTACCTCCTTACCATAAATTAAAACCATCTAATTTCATTCTTATGATGCCATTCTATATTTAAAATGAAAGAAAATAAGCTTTGCTACATTGCTAAATTGGGACAAATATAAGATATTAATAGACAATACTTTAAGAATGAAGAAAATTTATTTCTCGGGGTGACTTTCATAGTCACTAAACACAGAACAACTAGCACATTTCAATATGTTCTCCTGACAGCTCATCCATTATACTGCCTCTAATATCAGTTTTTGTATAATATTTCTATAGTGGCATAAGACATCTGCTTGTCTGATTTATCTGCAGCTTAGCACGATCAACTACTTACCTTTTTAGTTCAGGATTAAAAGAAAACTCATTACACCTAAAGACAGCTGAGAAGTTAATGAATCCGTAGATCAGGACAAATTAAGACCTATTAGAGCCTGAAATGCTTCTACATTATATATTGGACACACAGCAGCCAGGGATCATCATGTACAACGCTGATATGCTGATGAGCAAAGGAATGGAACAGATCCCAGAAATTCGGACCTCGTCCTTTTGGTGGCGCTGTTGCTATGCACTAATGTTGGGAAAACCAGCATTCACATAAAAGTAACTACCACTTAGCACAAAACAAGCTTTGCTTTTCCATGATCAAGCTGCTGGAAATTTGGGGGTGAGGGAGAGAAATAAAGGCTAAATAAAAGAGCAGGAGAATCCTTCCATGTTAAAAGGTAAAGACAATATTTTCATGTTGTTACATAAAAGCTATGAAAATGGCAATAACGTTGCAAGGTTAATCAAGATCATAAATAACTTGTATGAGAACCTCACCATATGCTTATAATTTCATTATGTGCATTTTGCCTCATTTTCTCCAAATATGCTTTGCAATGTGCCATTTGATGGATGAATATGATTAAAAAACAAGCTGAGGGACTAACGTACTTCATATTAGGTTAGGAGAATTCTTAACTTGAAGGAATGGTGGCTTTGGGGCACCTGCTTACAGGGTAGCATGCACATGAATGTAGGTTAGAGGTGGGATGGAGAAATAATGAAATAATGAAATAATTTATTTGTAAATGTCTGAGGTAGGTGGTGTGGATTCTAATGGTTAGGCTCACATTAAAGCAAGAACAACTTCAGAACCTTTGCCCACCCTTACAGCCCTGAGTGGTCATAAAAAAGGGAAATGTTCTAAAATCTTTTCTGATCACTCCAGTGGCCCTTTGAGGGGAGTAACTTTGGGAAGCAGTAGATCACAGTTAGCCTGAGCTGACTCTGCCAGGCACAGGACACACGCATTCTATGTTCTCAATCAATTCTCATCATGCCAATATGAGGAAGCTCTGTATTACCCCCACTTTGTAAGTGATTGTGCCAGTGAATGGCAGACCGGGGATATGAGATGAGGTTGGCTGATGTGGAGTCTATATTTTGGTCATCACATGGCGCTGTCTTCATTAATTACTATTCCTTTCCCTTAAAATTAGTCTCTATGACCCACACACAGGATACAGTCAATCAAAATCCCTCACCAGAATGAAATTCACTTAAAAATCCATTGTAACCAACACCCAGCTCTCCTTCCAAGGCTGCCTGTAGCCTGTTTTTTTTGAATAAATCTTATGAGGGCTACTCCTAACCGAAACCCTCCAAACTCAACCACTTGTAGCTTGGTTTTCACAGAAGTTGTGAAGTATTGTTTTAACTGAATTTGGTTCTAAGTTAGAAACTTTGAAAAATTTGTCTGTTAAAGGCCAGCAGATTTCTTAGTAGGCTTGATTTATTTAACATGAGATGCAAAAGCCAATTTGTTATGAGAAATATGGTTACATTTAACTATACTTTTAAATGAATAATTTATTATTATATGTAAATACCTTTTAAATAGTATATATTATTCTGAATTGTACAGATGCTGAGGGAAGCTGAGGGATCAAAGCTTGTAGTAAACTCAGTCAAATTGCTAAACACCCTTCCCTTTCCTGTGCATGGGCCATCTGTCTGGTTTCAGACTGCGGTGTGCGTGAAGTCCTGAGGTCAGGAGGCTAAACTGCACGTGGCTGGCTGGACGAATCTCCTTCATCAGCTATTGGTCATTAAGCTCAGTCCAGAGGGCAATTTTCTTTTATGTGTATGTTTAATCCCCGTTTATCAAGTCTTGAATGTAATATATTACCTGCATCATTCAGGATTTGTTTAAGCTAAGAAAAGCTCATATTTATTTATTTTAGAATTTTGATAAAATCTTCCTTAATTTGGAGTAAAAGAAGAATCTTTTGATATTATTGATTACTTAGCCAGTGACTAACAACCAGCAGTGACTGAATGTGACCTCACGCAGTCTCTGTGCTCAGCATGGGCCTGCCTGTCACGAAGCCACAGCCAGGCCTGGGGGATACCGGTAACAAAGGTTACCTGAGGTAGTAAGTGCTATCATTGAGCATGAAGGTAATGGGACCCTAGAGAAGAAAGAGAATTCTGTGCAGGGTGGTTGAGGGTCGAAAGGGTTTTGTGAGTTGGGTCACAAGGAGTGTTTAGGAGAAGAGGGATGGAGGGTCTTTGCCAGAGGGGAGAGTGAGCAGCAGCACGACTGCTGTGATCTGGAGGGAAGGCGGCAAGCTGTACAGTGCAGCTGGAGTGGGGGGGGGGAGTTAGCTCTGCGTGTATGCTGGGTGGGAGGTGCGTAGTGATGCTGAGACAAGCAAGCACTCATGTTGAGTCTGGTCAGGTGACGGAGAAACACAGGCACTGAGACGAGGTTATCTGGTTAAAGGAGAGAGTCTACCATCACCTCCACAGAGTCTGTCCTTTTCAGAACTTGGAATTCCTCTTTTCCTCTTTCCATATGGTTTGCCCTCACTACCCTGACTTATATACAGTGAGCTGCTGACTCTATGCTTCCTTCCAGTTGGTGGACATCTCAAGGCTAGACAAAGCTTTATTTGTATCCCTAGCATAGTCCCCAGCCTGGTATACTACTCAGAACAAAATGTGAAATGAATTCATGAGAGACAGACAAGCGAGGTTGTGGTGGGAGTTATTGTGGAGATATTCCCAGCTCTAGTGGCAGAACAGTAGGCATGGCTCTCACAGTGATGTCCAGAGAAGGGCTGCAGACGGCTTTGAAACCAAGTCTCGTGGGATAAACAGGTACAAAGCACAAGGCTAGGTGCAGAGTGCACTTAGGGAATCACAACTGGAACTGAAGTATGGAGTGAAAGGTAGGAGCAGTGAGAGATGAAACTGGAGAGGGTGGCAGGTCTCAGGTCATCGAAGGCCCTGTAGGCCAAATTGAAGAGGCAACGAGGGGTTATGAAAAGGCTTTACGCAGGGGAAAAGATAAAATCAGATCTGGGCTTTAGAAAGATACTAATGTGAATAACAATGATAATAAAAATTGCAACTGAACTTTATTTATTAAATGCTTACAATGTCTTAGATACAGCCCCAAGTGCTTCTCCAAGGTCACAGCTTGGATGTGAACCCTGGTGGTATGAATCCAGAGCAGATTCTCTGAACCATCCAGCTGTGGTGCTTGGACTGGAGGTACAGAGGCATTAGCAGACTGTTGAAGCAGTGTGGGTATAGTACAGGCAGGGAGGGTCAGGAGGAAAAAGAAGGGAGGACTTGGAGACCACCTGGGCGTGAACAACGAAGAAATGGGAGAAGCAGGGAAATCTTCCAAATTTCTGGTTTGAGGGCAGCATGGGTGGTGGCGCCATCACTGAGCTACAAGGAATGCAGAATGTTACTGTGATAAATATAGTTATGAGTGCTTTTGTTTCCTTTTCACAGGCCCGCTACAATTTCTAAAGAGAAAGGCATGAGCTCTCAGAAAGACCACAATGGGCCTCGTAAATTGCTCTATTTAAACTCTCTAGGAGCAACGAGATGCAGAAGATCATTAAGGAATGCAATATTCCATTTGGTGATAGTTCCAATATTAAAATAGACTGACTTTGATGCAATAATAATCATATCTAATGAATACAAAAGGTAGGCTGTTGTTCAATTATTTTCTCTAAAAAATAGAGTGTTCAATTTCTCATTGGGTCAAATAGGGGGTTATTAAGTTCATTACCAATGATGTTATTTTTGGCCGTATACCTTTCGAGAGGAGTAGTTGTCATGCATGAGGACTTCAGTCCTTGCCAGAACAGGACAGTGATGAGAGCACTGTATCCAGGGCAACGGAGAGTTCAGGCTTTTCAGTTCGTAAATAATCATGCCTCAGCTTGCCCTTTGTAATGTTGGTCTCCGAGCTACTTTGTAACAGAATGAGCTTGTTCAGGGGGCCACTGTTCTCTTTCTTTCTTTTGGTTTAAATGCCTGCTGAGGAATATTTTATAAGAAAGGCAATGTTTCAATTCCATTGTAAATCACAATGGCAAAAAATCTGCATCTTACTCTGATGTTTAAGCTCTGGCTGCAAGGATACTCTGCACACAGGGGTATTTTTGATGGGTGGGTGGATATTCTTTGGCACCAAGGCTACTGAAAGCATTATGCATGCTTGGTCATTCAATTTAATGAGGAGAAAGAACATTAATGAAAAATGAACACCATCCCTCCCACCCCATGTCCTTAGAACCAATTTGAATTTCTCCTCTGTGAAGTCTTGTAAGTCCTCTCCAGAGCAGAAATCCCACCTTCTGCTGGACATTGGCAGCACTCATTTGACAACTGAATCCCACATCAAAAGTCACCATATCGTGGTGGTTAGGAGCTCAGAGTCAGGAGTCATGCCACACTAGTTCTGAATCACTGTACTCAGGGTCTGCATTTTCTCCTCTGGAAATGGGAAAGCAGTGCTTCAGCAGTGCTTTCCACATGGGAGAGCAGGAAGCAGTAAATTAGATAACACATGTAAGGCTAGTGCCAGGGGCTCTGAGATGTCGAAGGTCCACAAAGATGCTGGAGGCCTGGGAAAAAACCTGGCTTTAAAATTCAAGAGGAAATTCTAAAATCAATAACTATTTAATGAAATACTTCATACCATGAGTTATCCATTGTCAACTTCGCTTGAACTCAATCTTTACATATTTGATTTTAGTATTTTATATTAATATGAATAAAGTTACACAATTTCATATTTCCTTTCAAAAACTGCATAGTAAAAGTTACATGTATTATTGGAGGAAAGTCTGTTTTAATACATTTGATCTGATGTTGAATGTGGCCTTGTAAGTAAATGTCCCTTGGCCTAATCATGTCTTAAAATGTCTCTAGGTGTTTAATAATTTACCATTACTATATTAATACTTTTATTATTCTGCCTTATTATATTTATTGTGCTGTACAGGACCGTTCCGTCAAAGTTTCTGCTTTGTATTTCCACTTAGGCCAGAAGATCCTTGAGGCCAGCATTGTGGAGAATGCACTGTCAAAACACTGGGCTCTGTTCTGGGATCCAACACTGACTGGGTGTGGAACGCGGGCTCAGGATTTAATTTCTTCACCTGAAGTCTGACCTGCTCCGACTCCTCTGCAGGTGCGTAGTGAAGATGACGGCCATGTTTAAAAGTGCTCTCTCTGTGCAAGCCTATGGGCAAATGTAAGCCCCAGAAGCATCTGCAGTGCCTATTATGGCCCTTAGGCACAGGCAAGAGGCAGTGAGTATTTGGGGATTTCTACAAAGGGTTTGTTTCTACCTCAAATCCAAGCAATACTTAGTATATCTATAGTCTCTTTCTTTTTGTTCATTTAACAAATATCGACCCCAGGGTCTGTACTAGGAGCTGGGGATGCAATGGGATACCTAGAATCTATAGTAACATTATTCTTTTTTATTCTTATTTTTAAAATATTTTATTTATTTATTTTTTAGAGAGGGAGAAGGGAGGGAGAACAAGAGGGAGAGAAACATTAATGTGTGGTTGTCTCTCACATGCTCCCTACTGGGGACCTGGCCCACAACCCAGGTATGTGCCCTAGATTGGGAATCAAACCAGCAACCCTTTGGTTCACAGGCTGGAGCTCAATCCACTGAGCCACACCAGCCATGGCTTTTTTATTCTTTCAGTGTATGGTTCTATATATCACTACACAATTAACATACATTATCTAATGTTAAGTAAGACAATTTAAGAAAGATCAATGCCTTCACATTTAAAAGACTACTTCAGAATGGGCTCTGAGTATTTCTGATAGGGGAGCGTGCTCATCTTGGCCCTGATTTGCCCAGGCAAGGCTGGTCTTCATTAGAAAGAAGCTGCTTGCTCCTCGTTAAGGCAATCAACAAAAGTGAAAAGCCTTTGACTCACAGGTGGCAGGCAGGAGTTCCAGGTGGTTGTGTCATCACTGCTGGTACTTATGCTGACATTACAGTTGTCAACCTGGGATGCGCTCAGGCCATGGGAAACCCCAGCATCCTCCAGGTCTTCGTTCTGCTGCCGCCGTAGGCTTGCCAGCATTTGCAACTCGGATTCACTCATCTGGCTGGGCTGATAGTTTCTCCAGTCATACTCCTAACCAAGAGAGGAAAAAAGTGACAGAGCAAAGGGTCACTTGGCCTTTCTTAATTTTATAGCTACCAATGAATGCTACTCCACAGCCCTATCCTTTCACTGGTTCCCCAGTGACAGAGACCACAGCCACACCCTTAATATGCCTTTATATGATGCCTATCCCACCCACCTGTCTTTTTGTTCCTGACCCATCAGCCATACTGTGCTTCACTATGATTCTCTAAACAAAGCATCAGACTCATGCCTGTTCTAGTGCCTGTACCCATGCTAGTCTCTGATGCCATATCTTCTGGCTAACTCCTAGGTGTTTTTTAGGTCCCTAATTATGTTACAACCGTGCAGAAGCCTTTTCTGACAACCACAAACTGGGTCAGTTCTTCCACATTATAGGCTTGCATCAATGCTTAAAGTGTTCATTTTTAGCATCTCTCACAACTGCAGTGAGTAACTGGCTTTGCGTTCACAGGTGGTCTGTCAGCTCTACAAAGGAAGTGCCTTGACTTACTCCCACTGTACTTCCCACATCTGATGCTCAGCTAGTATCTGAGGATGATGAAATAAACAAAAACTCAAGGTAGTTTGTGTTAAAAAGAAAACTCATTTCCCATAAAAATGTCCACTTTACAAGAAACTTGATGAATTTCATCCTTGTCAACATTATGACCAAATCCACTCAACTTACAGTAAGACTGGGAATGACTAATGTTCAAGCCATCAAATAAAATATGAACTCAAGGTGGAACAGGTAAGGTCTGAAGGCCAGAAAGACCTTACAGCTATAATAAACACTTTTATTGATATGGACTTTATCATATATACGTAATCTTTCAGGCACATTTTCCACCCAAGAATAGTACTACAAATCTTTAGAGGCTAATATAAATATTATTTCACTGTACAGGGAAGAAATTGGCATATGGAATTCTTAAAACTGTTCCTTTTCCTCTGGACTAAACCAAATTTGATAACAAATGTTAATTTCAATATTACTAAAATGTCAGCATTGTAAATGAGCTTTATGATTTAGCTCAGGACTGGAATATAAGTTAAAGACAATCTTGAAATTTTCTTGTACACATATGAAATTAGTTGTACTTAAAAAGTTTTTTGCCACGAAACACTAAAAGTTTTTAGATACTATAATCTCTATGCTTACTTCTCAGTGGACCCTCTGAGACAGAGCCTGCTTTCTCTTCTCTTTTGCCTCACAGGAATATAGGAAGTTAAAACAGTATAATTTTGAAAAAATCTTGGCATTTCTATGACATTAAAAGCTTTTTAATAGAGCATTATCATCATCATAATTTGGAGGTTGTGAAAGCATATGATCTGATAATGTGATGTGGAGATTTTCTGGAAAGTTGCCAATGGAAACTCACTTGAATGCTTATAGTTCATGGCTCCAAGCAGCTTGGCACTCTGAGAGACCATGCAATCTCTAACAGGAGAGTTCAGGAGTATTTAATATGCTTTGAGAGTTCTTGGAACAAAACAGATATCACAAGAAGATGAACAAAATTTATATTCCAAAGAAAAACATGAAAAATGAAAAAAAAGGAATAGAAATAATTGAAATTCAAAAGAAATAGTTGGGAGAGCAACAAACACAAGAAGAGATGCTCAACATTACCATTATTAGTGAAATAGAAACCAAAATCACAATGAGATACTGATACAGGGTGCAGACAGGGGGGCCCCCCAAAAAAAGATTTAGAAAGGTGTCCAGAATTCAAAGTGTATAGAAATATTGGAGAGACATATAAGATGTCCTCACCCCCCCCCACAGGGGGAAGAAAGAATGGAGCCAGGCCATTGAGAGCTATTTTGCATAGCAACAGTTTTGGAGCTAACCTCCGGAAGAATGGTTATTTAACATATCTATAACCTTTAACTGGTTTCATAGATATGTTAAATAGCAGTGGCCAAGTTTGGGGCCAAGGAGGAAGGAGAAGGGGAGTAGCTGGGACTCAAGATGGGATCTATGAGCTGCTCTCCTGAGTGAGGAGGGCTTGGACTCAGGATGTAACTAAGGGCTGCGCCCCTGAGTGGAAGGGCCGCTGTGTGGGAGCTTGGAAAAGACTGGCTCCAGGACATGAAGGGTCCCCGCTTGGCCAGATGAGAGAGAGCCACGCGGTTTCAGCAGAGTGAGGACCCCCTGTTGGTGAGGTGAAAGAGGGAGCCACGTGGTTTTGGCAGAGTGTGGAACCCCTCTTTCCCAGGTGAAAGGGAAAAACCACGCAGCTTTGCCAGAATGGAGATCCCTGCAGCCAGGTGAAGAAGACAGCCACATGCTTTTGGTGGAGTGCGGACTCCTGCAGCTTTGGTAGAAGAGGCCCACGCGGCTTTGGGGTGCCCCCTTTGGCTGCGGGGCCTGAAAAGCAACAGAGACTTTGACTGGAACTGGGTACAAAGGACTCTTGCCAGTGGACTATGAGAGGGTACCACAGTACTTTGGATTAACTCGAGATCCTGCCTGCACAGTGACACAGCTGATGGTGCCAGCGGCCTGCAACACAGACGTGTGCTCTTTTCCTGATTTACGGTACCCGGAGTTGGGACAGAGGGAAGGGAGCGCTGTGTGGGTGTAGGTGTATAACCTAAAGGACTTTGATATTTTAGTGGTGGCATTAGGCCTAAATAGCATTAAATAAACATTTTGTTTCCTTTTCACAAATCTCTGGCATTAAGAGATGTGTTTCCAATTGGCGGCGGACAGAAGGGCCCAGTAGATTTTAGTATTTTGGTTTTTGGGAGGGGCCCCTGTTGTACAGCAGTTTTGGGCATCCCTAGGTGGGCCAAATATTGTATTGCCCCTCCCACGGACCTCCTGTTGTTCGGTAACAGTTTTTGGCGACTCCGCCGGGACGATAATTGTCCGTGGCAGACCGACCCCCTCAGGTGCGAGAGAGTGAGGCTTTGGAATTTTCCCAGTCTCTGAGCATTTCTCTGCGCTCTTGAGGGCATCGGCCGCCTAATCACGCCTGGAAAGGTGAAAAGGAAACGAAGTGAGAAGGGAACAGAGATGTGAAAGTGTTTTGGGTTGAAAACTTGGTTTCTGACTGCTCTTTTGCAATGATGGAGCTGGAATTGTGGGCGACAGCAGGGGAAATACCTGGTCTTTTCGCCACCTGTATTCTTTTTGCTCTGAGCCTTTGTTTTCTTTGTTGGAACTGTGTGAGTAGCTCTACAGAGAAGCATGTAATGGTTCAGAAGGAGAAAGGGGTCTTAGAACCCCTCCCTGATAGTAGATCACAGGAGGAGAGAGATGATGAGGAAAGAAACCTCATCAATGTTCTGAACCCAGGGAATGAGGGACCCCAGACAGCGGTAACTCCCGTGGTGACACTGCTTTCTGGGGAGGTGAGGCCCACTGCGGCTTCTCCTGCCCTGCAAGTGGGAGAAGTCTCCACCACGGATTCGCAGCCTCTGCGAGAGGGCTCTGCTCACCCACTGCAGCAGGGGTTGCCAGGAGCCTCTTTGGCTCCCGAAAACGGAGCCTGCTCTCCACCTGCATTGGTGACTGCAGCCTCAGTGCACCACCCCCACTGGGTAGAGGGTGGCTTTGTGGTGCCCCCTTGCCCGCTGGTGGAAGGGGCCTTAGGGGCTTCCAGGGCTCCTGAAACCGGAGTCTTGGAACCTTCCCAGGTGGGTGGAACCAGAGTCGGGGTGCTGCCATTTTGGGTAAAATGGATGAGCCACGTGAGTGCCCCACCATGGAGGACAGAGCATGCATGGGCATCGCCATCTTGGATGACCCTGCTTGCATGGGTGCCGCCATGTTGGATGACCCCACGTGTATGGGCGCCGCCATCTTGGAACTGGATAAGACTTCTCTTCTGATTTATGGTCTGTATGCTGCTGCTGTGTGGGCACTGCAGCAGTCAGGTTCTCTGTGTAACTGGTTCTGATAGTAATGGCTCTGGTTTTGAAGGTCATGAACTGAGGTCCAAGAGTGACCATCTGCTTTATATGGTATTTGCAAGGTCTAAGTTTCAGAAAGGTGCAAAATGTCCCTGTGAATCTAGGGACTTTTAGTGGAAGGTACCTGTAGTGCTATGAACTTTTAGCTGCCACATACTGAGTTTAACTACTGAGTTGAAGTATAGTCCTTCCCAGTGTGGGAAAGGGACCAAGATTAAAAGAGAGTGATGGTTAAATCTAGATGAGTAGAAATATGTATAAAGAATATGAAAGTTTTAAACCTGGAATAAAGGAAACCTCAACTACTTGTTTCCTGGTTTCATGGGAAAAGCAAGTTTCTCACATGTAGTTCTGTTTCTGATCAGAAACCTGTATTGTAAGACCTAGTGAAGGTCACTGTAGCCGGTTGGGGAGAATGCCTTTGCACCCGGGACCCAGGAAGGGTCATTTGGGGCTGACAAGCGTTTCAGCCTGAGGCAAAGCGGCATGTCTCTGCCATGAGACCGGGCCTGAAGGAGCATGTCTCCAAACCTGTATCTGAAGACCTAGGAAAGGTCACCTGTAACCGGTTGGGGAGAATGCCTTTGCCACCCCGGACCCAGGAAGGGTCATTTGGGGCTGATAAGTGTTTCAGCCTGAGGCAAAGCAACATGTCTCTGCCACGAGACCGGATTGGAAGAGAGCAAGTCTCTGCCATTGGTTTTGCATCTGATCAGAAACCCTGTGTACCTGAAGACCTGTTTAAGGTCACCTGTAGCCGGTTGGGGAGAGTGCTTTTGCCACCAGGGACCCAGGAAGGGTCAATTGTGGCTGATGAGTGTATCAGCCTGAGGCAAAGCAGCATGTCTCCGCCATGAGACCGGATTAGAAGAGAGCAATTCTCTGCCATTGGTTTTGTTTCTGATCAGAAACCCTGTGTATTGTAAGACCTATTGAAGGTCACTGTAGCCGGTTGGGGAGAATGCCTTTGCCACCTGGGACCCCGGAAGGGTCATTTGGGGCTGATGAGTGTATCAGCCTGAGGCAAAGAGCATGTCTCTGCCATTGGTTTTGCTTCTGATCAGAAACCCTGTATACCT